GCGGGAGCCGACCTCGTCAAATTGCGCCGCGAGCCAGACTCTCATGTCAAGGATCGCATTTAGAAAAATAAAAACTTATAGTCGGCGAAGATGAACTTTTTCTCCTGCTAAAAGGATCAGTTTACAAAGTCTGCCGTGTGGTTGTGATTGGACTAGCACAGCTGCAGACTTGAGCAGTAGTCGGGAGACGAGCCAATATCATGCGGGCTTGAAATTGGGCGCGGCGGTGTGTTACATGCAGCTTCCCGTGAGGCCAAACGAGGGCTTATGGAGTCTTCCTTGTTCACCCCTCGTCGTCCCTCCCCTCTTTTTGGGAAGGGAAGATGGTATTTTAATTTACACCTATTTTTCACAAGTCTTCTGCCCTGACTTAAAGAAACAGGGCAGAACTGCATAGAATTTCTTGTTTTAAATGGGTGAAACCTGCTCACAAACTTTTAAAAGATTGCTAATGCTACTTCGATAACCTTGTTGGATAAGAAAGTGGTAGCGCAGCAGCCTAATAACCAAATATTCTTCGCTTCAGGTTGCCTATCGTTATGTCTGTCTGTGGTAGCGATAACTCGAAATAGGATTGAGTACTCTGCAAATAAAACTCTAGTACCGTTAACCTCTGTGCTCTGGCCACAACAAAACTTTAATTTCTGACTTGTGAGAACATACTCTTCTTCGTTTTAAAATCCTCTATGAAACGAGCTTACATGTGTCAGGGTTGCGATTTCTAATGAAGCAGGTACACTTCAATGATTTCTATAATTTCATTTCTTTTCACGTACCTGTTTTAATACAAATCGAGACCCCATCACAAGAAAAAGAAGAAGAATGCTGTATTTAAAATGGAATCGAAATCCTTTGCGACGAATAAATCTTTTGCTAGACAAAGAACCGAAAAATTCTTCACGACGACGCCGTTGTTAGCATTTTACACTGAGAAGATAAGCAAGTTAGCAGCAGCGGAGGTGCTGCTCTCAAACTCTGGTCGGTCCCCGATTTATTAAAAACTGGTCGCCTGCGAACAGCACTTTTATCGACTACTATTGACAGCTGTCGGGGCCCGTCGGACGCGAGCCCTGACCCGATGGACAGAATAAGTAGGTCAGGGCGGGGACGACGGGGTTGCAGAAATGGTGAATCAAAGTTAAGGTTTTGCACCATGAATGGAGTTGGAACCTTTCGGCAGTTCGATAATGCTGCGACAAGAACGAATAGCAACCTTGAATCACAAGATGTTATTTTACCACTATTGACCTTGACTTCGCCACTATTCAAAATCGAATCAAAGAATTAAATGTTCCTGTTTTTCCATACTAGGTACACTAGGTGTATCAGAGCAGACCCCTCAGTGTTCCGGTATCGGCCACAGGGGCCAGCCGCCTTACTGGCGAGAGGAGGGGAATGTAGGCCAACCACAACACTGCGGCGTCTGCTCACTGTTAAAACCTTACGAACAAAAATGGCAAATCCATCGTAGGTATGAAGGACTTGGAAGCTTCGTAGACGAAAAATTTAGCATTTTGCTTTGTAAGGTTTTAACTGCGCTGTGATACACCAGGTGCCCGTGGCACCCATAGGTCCACGGATGAAGTTTAACGGCTTTTGCCCCTATTGGTTAAAAATAAATGAACATTAACCCGACACCCGACACGGGCAATTGAAACGAGCGTCAACGTTTCCAGATTGAACATCAACCCACCCCGCTCTGATACCGAGTGGCAGCAGCAGTTGAATGCCACATCGTAGTACACGAACGGTGACAGACACTGATAGAGAAGAGCAGTACCATAAATTTTCAAGAATTTTTCTTTGTTTTTGTCGTTTTCTGTATTGTTTTTTTTCTGCACCGATACTTTAACGCCACCCCTGGTAATTAAATGTCCAGTGATTTATTGAATTCAACCCGCAAGTAGATCAGCCATGCAATAAACTTATCAAGTATCCCTTTTTTCATGTGCTGCGAATCAATAAAGTCACTTATCAATGTGGGCGACACGGGAGGGTCAGCAGCATTGGCTTGTTTTGCTGGGAGCGTCCCGCTGCGCCACCCCCGGACGTACAGGGGCGAGGGTGGCGAGGGCGGTCGCGCTGAATTGCTTTTGTCGATCTTCGCTGTTTGTCACGTCAGCGACAGTCCGGCTCGCATGTTTGACCCTCTCAAAACCCCATCAGTGGGGATTATCTCGTAGGTGTGCTGAAAATGTCAATTCAATGATACGCACGACAAAAACATATCATAATGTGCCACAATGAAATACTTGTATTTTTGATGTGCGTGTGTGTGTGTGTGTTTTTTTTTTTTTTTGTATAATTGTATACCCTCCAATCGAAACAACGGCGGGCCTGCATGCCGCTCATAGTGTGGAGGAAAGCGAGATAATGTTTTTTTTATATTTAGCACCCTAGCTCTTTTGACTCGGATGTTCTCCGTGTGGAATCGGCGAAGGGATTCAAAATTAATAGTACCTATATAGAATACGGGATAGTCGGATTTTTCAAAAAAACAACTGTTTGATGTGTTCGCAGGGGGGCGCACCATTGTCAAGCCATTCTGCCGCAACATGATCATGTCCAAGAGGACCATGATGACGTACCGGCTCGTGCTGTGGGTGCTGCAGTATCTCATGCCTCTATGCATCATCACCTTCGTGTACGCGCGCATGGGGCTCCGTCTCTGGGGTTCAACAACCCCCGGCACGGCGCAGGACTCGAGGGACGCCAACATCATGAAGAATAAGAAGAAGGTGAGCCTGTCCTCTGGGGATGTGCGTGAGTGGGCTTCTGGGGCTGGTGAGCTAGCGAGCAGCATCGGATGAGGGAAAAAAAGTTCCGTTCGAAAATACCAACTACGAAGCGGAGTGGACGTTGGGGGGAGTTAAGTGAGCCATGATCAGCCGTGCCCAGCTGGAACCCCTTACAATGGCGGGGTAGGCAACGCCGCACAGCAGGCCTGCGCGGCGGGCCTGCCTGCTAGTACGGCGCTCTACCCTGGACGGGACCCGCTCCTGGCCGGCCGGCCGGCTGTGGGCTGGGCTGGGAACATTGCGAACCCCCTCTGCGAACAAGTCTCTATGTGGACGGTGCGCTCAGGGCTTGGCTTTGCCGAGGGGAGGTCATCCCACAGCTACGTGGCGCGGCACGGCGTGGCAGAGGGCGTTGCAGGCAAGAGGTCGAGGCTATATCGAGATGAGACCGACTTTCCCGACACATCGACGTCGCACCACTGCACTATACTTGGTCGGTCGCACTAATCAAGCCAGACGGACAGTACACCTCGTCCTACCAACCCCCGCCGCAGAAACTGGCGCCCGATATAGACCCAGGCATCCTAGTGTCTAAGCATTTGTCCCACCGAGTCAATCTGTACAGAGAATTTTTTTATAAGTTGGAAGTTGGAACATAATTTGAAAATAAAATGTTGAACTTTATAGAATTTTCAATCTGTAGCAATTTCAAAATGATTATTTTCACAAGGTTTTCGAGGGTATTTTCCACAGCGGGATAATGAAAAACAGGTGGTATCGTCATAAAACCCTACAGCAGCTGGTTGGTTTGCATTGCACTGTATTTAGTCTCCCCAGCAGCGCCGATTCGGTAACACCCAGAAAAATGGGTTCTCCGCACAAGTAAATTTGCATTGTCCCAAGTCCAAAATGTTCTCGAAAAAGCCTAGAACAAAATGTACTTGACTCAATGCAATTTGCATTGCGGCAAGTTAAAATTCATCTCAAGAATAGCGCATTGTTCTCAAGAAATGTTCTTGATACATGTGTACTTGTGACAAGAATAATGTTCTCGGTTTCCTCGAGACCACGATTGTACTCCGCGCAAGCACAAAAATCAAGCATAGCACATAAGTCCACGAACTATAGCAACTGCAAGTAAGTCCACGCTGGTCCGCGGGTTGGTCCGTGGGGTCCGCGAGGTGGTCCGCGGGGCCGCGGGGTGGTCCGTGGGGTCCGCGGGGTGGTCCGCGCGCGGGTCCGCGGGGTAGTCAGCGGGGTCCGCGGGGTGGTCCGCGGGATGGTCCGCGGGGTAGTCCGTGGGGTCAGCGGGGTGGTCCGCGGGGTGGTCCGCGGGGTGGTCCGCGGGGTGGTCCGCGGGGTGGTTCGCGGGGTCCGCGGGGTGGTTCGCGGAGTCCGCGGGTTGGTTCGCGGGGTCCGCCGGGTCCGCGGGGTGGTCCGTGGGGTCCGCGGGGTGGTCCGCGGGGTCCTCGCGGGTCCGCGGGGTGGTCCGCGGGGTCCTCGCGGGTCCGCGGGATGGTCGATTAAAAAGGGCCCCGCACGGAAAGTGTTAACCTGACTGGAGAACTGCCTTGCCGTGCGAACCATGCCCGACAAAGATGCAACAGCTGCTGCCATGTCACGATAGGTTAACGCGCATCGACCGCCTTGATTCAGGTTTTTGGCACGTGATCGGGCAGATAAAAAATGCGTCTAATGGCCGCGAGGTGCCAGCCAGTCAGAGAAGTCGTTATCAGCCACCCTTCATAAAAGTACACATACCTATCTACCTTCTTCTATGTACACAATATATTTATTTCAGTTGACAGAGTGTTTGGCGTTCGTGTCACGTGCCAGGCGAGCGTTGTCACCAAATATGACTATCAATCTAATAACAACATTTTTCTCCCCTCTTCAGGTCATCAAGATGTTGGTGATTGTGGTGGCGCTGTTCGCCCTGTGCTGGTTCCCCCTCCAGACGTACAACATCTTGCAGGACATGTTCCCAAGAATAAACAGGTGAGGGCTCCCCACATTCTTATCGCCATGCAGTTACAACGTTGTTCGCTCCCCACTTTCCGGTCCGCAACGGAGGAAAAGATGTGAGAACGAGGGGGCACCAACTCAAAATTTACGTGACTACATCCTTCCTTATGCGCTTTGTTGTGAATAAAGCTTGCAGAATTTCATTCAGCCATAATATTTTGCACAATTTTATGGATAACTATGTACAGTGTATGCATAATTATGCACATTTTGTACACAATTATGCATCAACATTTGTGCATACTTATGGCTGTATAGAATTCTGCAGGGTTTATGCACAACAAAATGCATAGGAGTTCAGTGTGTGAACGTCGAATATATTCAGATACTCGCAAAGTCAATTTTGCAAAATACCAGTGCGAATACCACTGAAAATTCAGTGAATAGCTGTGAAAATTCACTATGAATGTTGATGAATATCGATGAATAGCTGAATGTTTTGAATACTCTGAATACCTCGTGAATATTCGGAAATATAAGCTACCTATTAGATATTAACCGCGCGTGAACCTTGGATATTTGAAGTTGATGCCCCCTCGGCTCGGGTGGGGAGGAGAGGAGATGGAGGGGGATGCCTCCGTTTGACAAATACAATTTCCGCGTGCGAGGCGCGTCACGAGTCGGCGTGCCGCCCGCCCCGTCCGTCAGGCAGATGTTTGACTCTCGGGCAGGACAATGCGATAAGGGGAGAGGGTGAGGGTGGGCAGGCAAGGCGGGGCTGGCAGGGTGAGGCGCCCAGCGGCGCACCTTTCCCCCTGGGCGAACTGATTTGCATAAAAGGCACCTGATGGAAACGGAATGGACTGATTTATTCGGCACGGCACATACGCGCGCGCCACGCTCCTCTCCTCCCATCCCACCCGCCCTCGAATGCTCCGCGGCGCTCTCACTGGCGAGGGCCACAAAAAAGATGCCAAAGGGGTCGAGAGGCACGTTATAAAGTAAAGGGGTGTACTCGCACTGAGCCCCCCCCCCCCCCCCCCCCCCCCCCCCCCCCCCCCCCCCCCCCCCCCCCCCACGCCTTCATCCACCGTCTTTAACGAAATGTCAGCTTCACGTCAGTGGCGCCCTTCACCAAAATAGCCAGCTATAACTTTGCCGCTTCCCGGATAAGAGCTCCTGTCTCACACACCAGTTTCGTGGGAGCCTCACTGGCCCCCCTTTTTTTCCTCTGCACCCTACTCCCACCCCACCTATCACGAGGAAACGGAAGCAACAGTCTGCCTCTGAAACGGTCGATTACCGTCCTAATTTCACCTGCACTTCATTTTTTTTTTGTTTCAGCTACAAGTATATCAACATTATTTTTTTCACAATCGATTGGCTGGCAATGAGCAACAGTTGCTACAACCCCTTCATCTACGGTATTTACAACGTAAGTGCGCCACTCCTTGGCCCCCAGAACGAAGAACGCTGCTGACGCCGATCGCAGACTTTGACACCTCGCCGTTTATGTTCACAGGAAAAGTTTAAACGCGAGTTCCAGCAGCGCTTTCCGTTCCGCAGCCGGCAGGACTGGGTGCCGCCCGACTCGGTGGACCTGGACAAGACGCATTCGGGGATGACGAGGTCCTCGGTAATGCGCTCGTCCGTGTACCAACCCGGGTCGTTGTCGGCCGGCGCGCACGACTGGCGGCGCGCCTACTCGTCCCGCACGAGCAACGCACCGCGCTGCTACCCACCGCCGCCCAGGAACTACCAGAACGGTGCGCCAGACGCGCTGTACCGGCCGTACGCCGCCCGCCTCGCCGTCAACCACACCGTGAGTGTCGCGAGGTCGCTGGTGATAGAGTGCGAAAAGATTCACAGCCGGCATGGTCGGCATGCCTCGTGTGGTTTGTCATGTGCGCTGCACTGCCGCTACCCCCAGACCCTGTGGCCCTACCCCGCGGGCGGAGACATCTGCCGATACCCCGCCGCACCCGGTCTTCCTACCAGCTCCCCTCTGGGGCAGTCGGCTATACCCCGCGCTGCTCGGTACGCGGCGATACGCTGTGCCCCCAGCCAAGACCCTTACGGTGTGCTCGTTGTCCGGCAGGTGCTGAACGGGCGCGAGTCGTCGCTGCTGTCGCTGACGGGCAGCCAGGGCAGCAACGGCAGCCACACGGCGCTCTTCGCCAGGGCGGCGGCCACCTCGCCCACGCCCAGCGCCACGCCCGCGCTTACCCGGCGCCACACGCACGCCAACACCGACTCGGACTCGGCCACTACCTCCACCACGGAGCTGTACGTCTTCCCCGCAGCCAAGCCCTCGCAGCCCGCCGGTCACCTAGTGGCGCGAAAGGGATCCAACTCCAGTACGGAAGAGTTCGCGCTGTGAGGCACAGACACCACGCCGAGTTCCGCAAAAGGAGACATCAGAGTAAACTGACGACAAAGTTAGCTATGTCAGGATTTTACCTACTGCCTCGACTGAACTTCCTAGGCTCTACTGGTACAGTGTTGTAAAATACTACAACTACTGCACAGTACCGTATTGGGCTCTGTAAACAAAAGCTGCTTATCATGAATGTCATCCAGCATAAATCATGGCCTGCCTAAAAATTGATTTTTGTGCCAAGTATACTAAACTTCATACACAACTAATTCCAAATTTTACTATAGAATAGAATTTCGCTGCGTCAAATCAGAAAACGTTAAGTATAATACAATGATTTATTTTTGTGACAGGTATTCTTGAGTAAGTGCACCTTGTGATTATTCAATAGCCCTTTTCTGAGTATTGGGGAAAGTCACAGGTGATTCTGCTGTCCTCAGACCAAAACTATACTGGCTTCACAACATTTAATATTTATCTTGTTCTTGGAATGCTTTAAATTTTAAGTACAGTTTGAAAGTAAAATGAGTGATAATGTGCAATAATGTAAGGCCCTCGGATATTATAAGATTGAGAGAGCTCATTGCAGTCTGATCATTTTTTTTAGCTAAGGATTGAAGTGTAGAAGCAGATAGAAATATTATCGAGCTTGTTTCTTCTTTAAATTTTAAAATCGTGAAACAAAACTTTTCATAATACCGTAATTCTATTTAGATGGCTTCTGTTCCACGTCAATGTACATATCTTGTAAATATTTTTGTACTGCGGAAAAGATGGTTCTCAAATACGGGTATATTTTTTCTCTGCATTGTAATTGACCATCAGATTGAAATATATTCCTTACCATTGAAAGATAAAATGCAGGTTGATTTTGCGCATTAGTGAGACGCACGCATCTACACCGGTCGATTCCGGGCGGACGTTCGGGCCGGCTCAGCTATGGCGAGGGTGAGGTGCACACCTCTGTAACGTTACACCAGTCCGAACACCATCTCCCCACGTGTCCTACCGTGCTGGCGCGGCGTGGCGCCCATGGAGCCGTGGAGTGGACAGCACAAGACCACAAACACAGTCTGGTCGCCGTAACCCAATCTTCAAGGGTTTCGCTCCACATGGCCTCACCGTGAGCGGAATGTACGTGTGGCAGGACAATACACGGGTGCGCGGATGGTCATGGCGGTAATACTGGAAAAGGTGCGTAATTCTTGTCGTCACACTTCTTGTTTCCTGGCTGCCAAAGTTTTTGAACCAGAGTATGAAGGCAGCGGCTCACATGGGCGGCAACGAGACCAGCACCAGCAGTGGTCTCTTCTGCACGGCCACCGCACTCACTGTCCTTGAACGCTGCCGAAAACCTGGGCCAAAACCGGACGCACCGGAGGAAGGTCCCTAGTCCTATCGAACCACATGCTGATGCTGCAGGTTGTTGAAGGTAATGACTGACCACACTGCTAATTTTCTAAAAAAGCCTAAGTATGATCAGTGCACTACCAAAGCATTTAGTCCACAAGAATTTAACTGTGTGTATCCTGCTCTCGCACAGGGCGCACGGGAGCCCCTAGTCCTACTGAACCATATCCTGCGGGTAATTGAAGGTAATGACTGAGTACGCCAAACACTTTCTCAATTACAAAACGTCTCAAAC